AGTAAAATCACTGGGACTACATGCAAGAGTGAAGCAACTAGAACAGTGCTTCAGAACTGCAGAATTGTGCTTTAAGATTTACCCAGTCTTGCAAGGTGCTTTATTTAATTTTAAGCCCACATGATCATTCCCATGGACTTAAAATTAGATAACTGCTAAAGCATCTTTTTGAATACACATTTTCTGTGATTATTAATGAACGGTATAAAACTGAGGGGATAGACCTAAATCATGTAATGGTATTGTATTGATTTAAAAATTCCTTGTAGAAAACAGGATGGTTAGCATATGGGGGAAGAATTGCCTTAATTTATTTTGGGAGGAGATGCAAGAGGGTGAACTGAAGATAAAAGCTCAGCAGCTGAAGGAAGGCAAAATACTGTATTCAGCTGCATGGCAAAAATCTTCATCGTTTTTTCAGAATAATACCTGCCTAGCAGGGCACAGGGGGAAAGTAAGCAAATGGGAGGACGTGCTTAATTTTTGATAACATGGAAGAAGTGGAGCATGTATGGAGGTATGCGCAGGAGTAGAAACAAAGATAACAGTAAGTGAGAAAGTGTTACCAACCTTCAGTTTAAGAAACTTGATCTTTATGCAAAATGAGGACAAGACAGTACAGGCATTTTGATGTGGTTGATGAAGAAAAGACTGTGCTCAAAGCAGTTGGCAAATTAATTGTTGTTTGGTTTTTTTGAAGTCATAATGTGGACTAATAATGCCTTTGTTGTGTAAATTGATTTGTTAAATTGCTACAGATGACCATAGAACCATCAGAAGAGCCTTTAAAAAGAAATATATGGAATAGTTGGCGACCAGCTAAAAAGAAACTTTGATGTCAAAGAGGTATGAATATAAATGCAAGATCCGCATGCCCATACATGCATGCACTCAGTTTTCTTGCAGGAAATCATTCTTTATATCATCATAGTTTGTCTAAAGAAACGTGATTTGGGGTGTATAGTGAATATTTAAATTTCATAAAATCTTTTAACATTATTTTTCTGTATTTTTGTCCAGTGGATCCATTGCAATGGCAATGACATACTGAAAATATAATGCTTTTTGGTTATATTTTTAAGAAGGTTGAGCAAGGATGAGAGATGGATAACATTCTGAAAAAGCTGCCAGAAAATAGGGAACTTTGTGTTGGCAAAGCATTCTTTACACTTGCTGAGTGATGTGATAGCTTGCTTTTTCTGTTAATCCTGTGAAAGTAAAGATCAAATATTTAAACATTTATGGAGTATAAGCACCCCAAACAATTCAGTGCTCTCCCAATTGCTTATGGAAACTATTGTACTCTGCTGCAGGTCTAGTGTAATTATTTGCCTTGCTACCTTCATCCGACACTACATAGTTTCTCATATTTTGCGTAGATCCCATATTCAGAGTCTTTTTCACTACCAACCAAGTATTTATTTTAGGAAGACTCTTAGTATGTACCTACCTTAAAATACTTTGTCAGAAATTACTAGGATTTGCTTTGCATTAAGGGAAAAAAAAAGTGAACACTTTCATTGAGTCGCACACTACACTCTCTAAAGTTGGAATAGCTTGGATATATGTTCTTCTAACATCAAAATAAATATCTTCTGGCAAATGTCTTGCTAGCAATGGATCTTACTTATATGAAATGGCTCCTTTGCATCTCAGAGAAACTTCAGAACAGGTCTTAATTATTTTTGTACATCACAAACTTAAGCAAAGCTGAAAATAAACTTAAAGAAAGTGACTCATGGCTGTATATGTTTTTCTCTTTTTAAATGTGAGTCTATTGATTAATGTTTAATATAACCAGAGGTACCGGTTTGTCTTTGAAATGTAACTAATCAGCAAAACTTTGTTCCTGTATAATTTAAACTGTTCAGTTAGAATATTCTTAAACTTGAAATTCCTTTTTTTATAAACATAGATAAATCACACTTTAAAAGTAAGTGGGCTTTGCCTGCCATCCAGACTATTTATATGGTGGGCTTCTTATGTTCTCTAAATGGAAAGCATTTATTTTTAAGTTATATGTCAGCATAGTCTTTCTTTCTAAACAAATTGAAAACTATGAAGGATTAGGAATTTCATTTTATTTTTCTATGTTTTTCTTAAGGTCATTGCTAGAATTGTAGACGGAAGTAAATTTGATGAATTCAAAGCCTTGTATGGGGATACTTTAATTACAGGTATTTAGAAATACATTATAATTATTCTGTGTATGTTCCCACTGGTTTTATAGTTGGATTCATTCCGTTTGGCTCAGCCATTGATATTTTTAATAACATTTTTCTTCAAAAGAATAGCAGTTTCTGTTACCAAGAAAAAGTGTTACCTTCATATGATACGGTACAATAAATATATGTGAAAATTTACAAATTTATCTTTCTCCTTCAGGATTTGCAAGAATATTTGGTTATCCAGTAGGAATTATTGGAAACAATGGAGTTCTTTTCTCAGAGTCAGCAAAAAAGGTAAATAAATAGATTATTAGCTGCTTTGCCATTGAGAATCAAAACTTCTGGTGGACAACTTGCCCTTGAAATGAGGAATTTTAAATAATGAAAGTGGACTGGCTCCACATTTTTCATGTAAACATGAAGTAGCTTAATAAGAAGTAAAAATAATTACCGTATTTTAGAAGCAGAGTTGTGTAGATTTTTCTGATATGAAGTAGATAGGCCAATAGGAAAATATAGTTAGAAAAACAGCATTTGCATTTGTGTGACTACAACACAGTTGAAATAGGATATCCTCAAACTTACAGCTATTACAAGAAAAGTCCATGCTGACTGCATAAAATGCCTGTACTGTGAATTACTACAATAAATCACATCATTGTCTTTGTAATAACTGGAAAATCTCAAACCTGGATTCCAGGACTCAGTTCATTGGTTTACCAGAGATGTAATTTTCATTGCTGCAGCAGTTCTTGGCTTAGATTAATGAGTAAAAACATGTGCAGTCTCATAAAATCTGTGAACTAAAATACCTGTTTTGTGAAGTAAAGGGCATCTTTGATGGAATATTGTGATTACATTACAGTTAATAGTGCTTTACAGATTAGGCTTGGGGGATTGGTGATGATAAAGAGTTTCTGGGTATGGCAGAGTGGTTACTTACCTTGTTCTATGTTGTTCAGTTTAGTTCTTTGTTTTTTCAAGAAACTACTGTCAGTTGAATTTTTGGTAGTAGCAATTATATATGGTAGTTCTGTTCTAGCAGACTCCTCAAACTAATGGTGAGGAAATCAGTATTGAAGATCTATAGGAAAAAGGAAGCCTTGATAAGAGATTTGGAGAAAGGAAGTAATTTAACTTGATTTATTGCTGTACTAACATAATACACAAAATTGAGTTTCATGTACTGAAGCAATACTTTCAACTTGGAGCACTGCAGTAAGTGACATTGTTTTCGGCTAGCATTTGTTTTAACACAGTTTATTTCCAAGTTGAAAATAACTCTTTCAGTATTTCTAATACTTTCAGTATTTTTCTGATCATGTAGTGCTGCAACTTTTTTCCTACCAATGAAAAAAATGTAAGGAATCTTCCTCTGCCAGCTTTTTGCTGGCATATGAGTCCTGTAAAAGGAGATGGTCTAGTTTCACTTGCTTCGCTTCACTTCACATCACCTTTGTCAATGATGTTGCTTCTGTAAGCATCATAATGTAACAATATTCCTTTTTTTTTTTCTTTTCCATTTTTGTAATGAGTTGTGACATCTTTTTCCCATGATTATCTATGCTTTTCAGAGTGCTTCTCTGAAACAGTTAAAGATTATGCTTTATGATTTTTCTCTGTTTTTTGTTTTCTTTTCGTAAATTTTGCTGGTTTTGTGTTGTGAAGAGGTTAGAGGTTTTTTAGTTGTTATGCTACATACCTTTTTACCAGCCGTGTGTAAATAACCTGAGAAATTTTACTGATTTAGATCATTTCTAGTTGAAACAGAAGCTTGGAATCTACTGTTTGTATCTTTGCTAGGAAAATGGTCTTTTCCTAGAAAATGGAGAGAGGGCATCTGCCCTGAGAAAAAGGGAAGAGTGTTACAGCAATTGGCAGCGCCATGAGCAAATAGTGTATGTAGGCCTTTCCCAGTTTCGTAGAATAATTTTCTTTTGTACAGGAAATGGGGAGATACTTTTTTTTGACTGGCTGTCTTAATTTCCATGACAGAATCTTACAAAACTTGATGTCAGTTGCCATGCTGTGAAGTTGTCTGTGGTTTGCTACATATTGGCTGAGTCAAAACAGTTGAGCTTTTCAGTGTCAGCAGTAATGCTTTTTAAGGATATTATTTCTGCTTTACCCTGACTCGCACGTTTTTGGCATTTTCTTACTTCTGCTAGAGCGAATGCATATTTTACAGTTGACTTTGGATGAAGCAGAAGTAATACAGCACTTCATGATGCAAACACTCCCATGGACTTCAGTGGAAGGAGACTTGTCACAGACTTCAGAGTGCTGGTAGTGATAGCTTCACTGATCCAGCTTTTAATGGCTTGCTTTTTTTTTTTTCTTCCCTCTCCACAGGGTACGCATTTTATCCAGTTGTGTTGCCAGAGAAATATTCCCATTGTGTTTTTGCAGAATATTACAGGTGAATAAGATCAATATTTTGAAGTTTCATTATGTTGTAGGCTTTGCTCTTAACTGTTGAAGCTATGACTTTTAGACAGCATCTTGCGTGCTTTGCTGTACTGGCATCTCCAGCCTGTTCCAAAATCAGCCTGTCAGCAGCTGGTGGAGGCCTTGCCTTATGATTTGTTCTTCAGTTTTTTCTGCATGTGCTATAAAGCACATAGTATGACATATAGCACAGTGTAAAAATATAAAGTTAGTGAGCCTTTTTTTCGTGTTCTAATTCTTCAGGTTTCATGGTTGGTAGAGAATATGAAGCTGGAGGGATAGCAAAAGATGGTGCCAAGATGGTAACTGCTGTAGCTTGTGCCAGTGTACCTAAAATAACAGTGATTATTGGTGGTTCTTATGGAGCTGGAAACTATGGGATGTGTGGAAGAGCATATAGGTAAGCATTACTTCCAATTATGACAGGAGATAAGACTGTTAAGACAACATAACCGTGAAGTACCATTCTGAAAAACTGTCTGAGCTGTTGCAGAAGTTGTGCTATTTGGAAAAAAAAGTTTTCAGAAAATACTGTCATAAGTAAATAACAACCTGACAAACCTGTAGAGATTGATAGACTCATGATTAACTTTGAATTAGGTGATGGAGATCTTCTAACAGGTAAATGTGCTGACATGCTTTTCTCCCATTTTAGCTCTTGGAGGAAAAATTGTGCCATCCTAAACAATCACTAGGCAGTATGGGCTGGTCCTTTATTCTGCATTCATATGAAGAGTACCAGCTTGTGTAAAAAAATCCTTACTCACTTTAATGAGCTTGTTATTATGAATACTGTTTGTAGAACCCCTAAGGATTTACTTTTTGGACATGACTCCTGTAAATGTTTTTTTTAATTTTTCAAGGTCCCTGATACTATTGAAGTTGTTAGTGATATTTTTTAAAAAGAAAAATTCCTGGGGAGAGGTGTGAGATGAAGATACTCAAGAAAGAGAGAAATAAATTTTTAAGGTGCTTGAATATAGAAATGAACAGAATTTTCACATTTTCAAACATAATGCTGCAAGCATTGAAGTACATTAAGTTGCATTCTTCAGAAACCAATACATTGTAAGATGGTAATGCATAAAAATGAATTCTTAGCTGAGTGAGAATTAGTTCTTTACTAGGAAATAATTTATTTTAATACTTAATATGTATTTTTTCAGTCCAAGATTTCTTTATGTGTGGCCAAATGCTCGCATATCAGTGATGGGAGGGGAACAAGCTGCAACTGTTCTAGCTACAATAGCTAAGGACCAAAAAGCAAGGGAGGGAAAACAGGTACATCTTTCTTCTTTCATTTGCAGTAATGTCATTGTCATATCAGTCTTTCACTGGAGTTATTCACTTTATGAGCTAGGAAAGGATGCTACAGAGTGAGACACCAATGAAGTATTATTCTCCCAATGCCACCTAGTGCATTGACAAACATGAAGCATTTGTGAAATGTTATTGTTTACATCTTCTAAATGTGAAGATCATTCATGACATTTCTAGTCTTTGCTTAAAAGGAGGAGTATTTCTCATGTCATCATCTTTTTGTGTTTTATGCACCAGATTATTAGTTCTGCCTCAGATGAGTAGCCAGGGATCCCCCCTGGTTTGGGACTATGAGGAAGAATATGTGAGAACAAAATGTCTTTCCAGTTATGTTTGAAGTAAGCAGTTTTATAGAAAGTTGATCTTCAAATTTTTCAGTGACTGAGAATTATGAAACTTGTAACAGCAGAAGTCTGTAGAGGTTTAGAAAAGGTTTTGACACATTTCAACATTTTAATTGAAAATCAGTGGTATTTTGTCTAATAATATTTTCTCATTTCTCTGTACATTCTTTTTTGCTGTGTTTTCTAAATTACATGGTTTATGTTTATACTGATGCCTTGGTCCCATAAGAAGTAATTTTATTGTGATGTCTTAAAATTGCTTGTATTTATCATGAATAGTTATTCAGAATAATGAAGTGGTATGTACATGTTATCTCAACAGTTCTTTTTAATGCACTTTACTTGGGCTTTCTGTGGGTAGAATATATTCACCCTCATCTCTCTCTCTCTTAATTTCCCAAATCCCTAAGATGGACGGAGTGATACCCAGAAAGAAGTTTTAAAACGTGTTAGAAACTTGAAAATTTTGCGAATTATAGTGGTGACCACTCTGGGTCATAGGGAAACCTAGTGTTACAATAGCACAGACTTGTTTTATTAAAGAATCTTGCCAAAGGCAACTCAGAATGGGGTTTATGCGGTACAGTAGCTTCAGTAATTTTTCAGATGCTAATCCCCAATTATTATTATACTCACTGAAGTATATTTTTACTCTCCTTTTCCCACCTACCTGTTTTGAAAAGTAGTATTTTAATTTCATTGTCAAATATGTTAAATTGATAGTTGTGTGTAAAAAGGGGGAAAAACTTCGGGGAGATCATTTAGGCAGTTTCTTCAAGTTTGATGCTGCATATAAAGCTCTGCTTTCATTGTGGAGGAAAATATTGAAGAATATCTTATCTGTGTTTGTTTATTTGCCTGGTTTTTTAGTTATCTGAGGCAGATGAAGCAGCTTTGAAGGAGCCAATCATTAGGAGGTTCGAGGAGGAAGGAAACCCTTATTATTCCAGTGCAAGGTAACATATAAATGACTTTTCCAAAACTTAATGGCAATCACAGGACGTAACAATAACATCTAAATCTTGGTGTTGAAGAACAGCAGAACCAATCTGGAACAAAGATTGTATTTGCTGGGCAGGAATACAACACAACAAGGTTCAAATCAATGTTTTGTCTGTCTTGTCTCTGAGACTTTGTAGTATGTACTGTTTCAGAAGAAGGCAAGCACTTGCAGGAATTATTCTGCTGGTTCTGTAAGTAATGATATGGTAGCATGGAGTTTATATTCTATGTATTTTATTCTGGGTAAGTTTTACATCATTCTCCCCGGCGTGGTATCTGGTCACCTTTCTAAAGCCTATTGAACAGTGTAATGAGTGGCTGCATATGTGTTAGGAAAAAATCATTTTAGTGTGATGCTGCAAGTAGAAGAGGCCAGTGGTAAAGGAGAAGTTTCAGGAAGACCTGAAGCCATTTGCAAATCCCAGGTCATGATCTTGGCAGGTGACTGTATTGGATGATAGCAATTTGGATAGGGCATTAGCTGATGGGTGCAGCATATTCCTGTTTGTTGAGAAGTCCTTTGCAGCATTTTGTACTCAGGTTAATGGAATATTAGTAAATGCCCAGGAACTAGTTAGGCTAATGAAGCAAGGTGGCATCCTGGAGTGTTACCACTGGAAACTAGCTTGGAGACTTTCTTGGCCTCTAATTGTTACTCTACATTAGTTTCATCCTGTCTGTACTAATCTTCCTGCACATTTTTCTGCTTGTGGTATCCAAAAGCTAATTCTCCACAGGCTCTCAGTTGCTAATGATGGTAGAGGGTAGCATATAATAATGGGGCTTTACTGTGCCTCTATGGCATCTCATTTTGCAGAAAGAATACTAGTCTCATACAACTGTGGAGCCTGCTGTATGTATGTTTTTATGTAGCTGAATTAGAATTTCTGATGGTTTTCTTACCTGCAAGCTGGGAAGTCTGGAAACAGACTGAGTACAGAGTGGTTAGATATGATAAATTTTGATGTGGGCATCATGGGCAGAAATAATGTGAACCGGTGGGTGCAAGATACTCTGTCAATGTCATAGAGATGCCAATAAGAGAAGGAGTTTGGGGGCCTTCTTGTCTAACTTGATACCTGCTTAATCTCATGTATGACAAATTTGATACAGCAGCAACAGCAGCAGCATAGCATCAGTGAGCTCCTTGATCAATTGTTTATCATGATCTGAAGGAAGATATAAAATTAATGGTAGCTTTTACTCTGTTTTCTGTTGGGATAACAGAATGAACTTAACTGAAATAATTGTACCTAGGGGATCCATACTCATTTTAATGTTTAATCAAGTGTGTGCCTTCATCAAATGGAAGCTCTTGCCATTTTGCCCTGGCTGGTGCTGTGATGGGATAAGTATTCTTGGTAGGGTATGTAGCACAGGGTTTTTGGTGTCATCTAGGCAGATTTCAGTGTTGCAGTCGTAAAGGCTGTGGGTGGTGGATTTAGGGACGGTTTTAGTCTTGCCAGTCTTTGGTCTCTGCTTCTGGCAGAGGCCTATGTGATTGTGTTGCAGAGAGTCATAGATATTCTCGGCTTCTTGAGGTTTTATGCATGTGTACAACCCCCACTGCTAGTAAGCTACAGTTTATTGGGGTTTTTACATGTAATCAATGAGGATGCTTTTGTGAAATCCTGAATTGTTATTGACATGGACTTTCTGGTGGCACGCTGGGCTTGATTTTTTTTTTTCAATCTTTTTAATTGATCTAAATTTCACAGAGTTTTCCCCAAATTGAGAGAGGTGTCAACTGTTAAAAACTTTTGTGCTATCTCTTTTAGTACCCATTAAAGAGCAAGCCTCGTACCTGTGTCACAAAACCATGTGTCCTGGGGCAAGAAGGAAAAATGAAAACACATATTGACATCTTTTATAACTGGATTTTAAGGAGAAGAATTTTCCACTGATACAATAACATTAAAAAAAAGAGTCAAACTGTCTGTATTTAAAATTAATCCCTACCATGGAGGAGGAGAATAATGGTTTGATTTTTTTCTTTTTACATTTACTTGTTTTGATATGCTCATTGGAAACACAGTCATAGTCTCTTTGTACTCATGACTGAAAAGAATTGGATTTATTTAACATTCAATGTATTCAGTTTATTAGTGACATAAAAATTTGTCCTCTCCCAAAAACCAACAGACCATTGTCAGTATTTACAACAGTAAGTTACTAATCTGCAAGAAAGTAGTTTTACATCTAAGATTAAGGTTAAAATTTTAAAAACTCAGATTCTAAATTTTTAATAATGTCCAGTGCTTTTTAGACATGAAACTTGAGTATTTAACACTAGCTTTGTGCTCTCTGCTGAGCAACTTCTACCAGTTTATGTTTCCAGAATATCTGGCCATTTTGTGCAGTTAGGTTGCAAATCCAGAAGGCACCTCAGTAAATAGTCTAAGTTTGCTTAGCCTAGGGGTTAGGAAGTGCTCTTAATGCTAGATGTCCTGTCCTTCATTTAAAAGAACAGGGTAGTTACATACTTTTCTTGTGCTTGTAGCTTGGAAGGGAAACTTTGACGTGCATAGATGTGAGCTGACTGGGAACTAGCGTAGGTCGGGGTTGCATGTGGTTGGCTTCATGTGATGCTGCACTCAAGCTAATAAGCCCGGCTGAGACATGAAGTGAAATGTCAGAGCTGAAATCCTGCTGAGGTTCATCTGGCTAAAAGCAATGAAGGTGAAATGCCCGTTTTCAGAGGAGTGCTTGTGAGAACAGTGTGTGACTGGCTCAGGTCAAGACAGTCCAGGCTGGTTTCTCTCTCTCTTCAATCCATGTAGGTACAGTCTGCATTGTCTAGGAGCTCTTAATTGCTCTCTGCTGTCTTGTAGAGATAATTGGGTATATAAGAGATATTCGTATGTTTTCTGCCCTGATTTCATGCCTTCTGCCAGTATTACCATTTGTGTGCTTTGTTCCTTCATTTATTGCTGATTCCTAAGCAAGATCTCAGACTGATAGCTTGAAAGTTTTCAGTACTGTGGAGTAGGCTGCCCACGCAGAAACAATGAGATGAAGTAGGATTACAGTTTTTGTAGAAAGCAATGTACCTGGGGGGTGGGG